TTCTCTCTCTTTGAGTCAACTACTCACCACATTTTATGCACTGCACCGCTAGCTAGCTGTAGCTTATGCTTTCAGTACTAGATTAATTATCTGATCCTTTGATTGGGTGGACAACATGTCAGTTCATGCTGCAAGAGCTCTGATAGGTTGGAGGATGTCCTCCGGAAGTTGTCATAATTACTGTGTAAGTATATGGAAGGGGGTGAGAACCAAGAGCCTCCTAGGTTTTTTTAAAAGTCAATGTACTCAGAGGAGGACGGAAGCTAGCTGTCCTCCGGCTACACCATGGTGCTACCCTACAGAGTGCTGTTGAGGCTACTGTAGACTTAGTGAAATAGTGTGTTTTAACAAATTATTTGGTGACGTGATTATATTTAGTATAGTTTTATCTCAAAATTAGAACTTTTTTAAAATGTTTTAAAATGTTACTTTTTAAGAAATTCCCTGAGGAGGATGGTCCTCCCCTTCCTCCTCTGAGGAGCCTCCACTGGAATGTACACCGAGCAAAAATATAAATGCAACATGCAACAATTTCTAAGATATTACTGAGTTACAGGAAATCAGTCAATTGAAATAAATTAATTAGGCCCTACTGGTAAAGAGTCACTTTAACTCTACCTACATGTACATATTACCGCAATTACCTCGATTAACCGGTGCCCCCGCACATTGACTCTGTACCGGTACCACCTGTATATAGCCTCCCTACTGTTATTTAATTTTACTGCTGGTCTTTAATTATTTGCTATTTTTTATTTGTTACTTATGTATTTTTTTTTCTTCTTAAAACTGCGTTGTTGGTTAAGGGCTTGTAAGTAAGCATTTCACTGTAAGGTCTACACCTGTTGTATTCGGCGCATGTGGCAAATAAAATTAGATTTGTTCTATGTATTTCACATGACTGGGAATACAGACATGCATCTGTTGGTCACAGGTAGGTTGTGGATCAGAAAACCAGTCAGTATCTGGTGAGACCACCATTTGCCTCATGCAGCACGACACATCTTCTTTACATAAAGGTTGATCAGGCTGTTGATTGTGGCCTGTGGAATGTTGCCCCACTCCTCTTCAATGACTGTGCGAAGTTGCTGGATATTGGCGGGAACTGGAACACACTGTCGTACACGTCGATCCAGAGGATCCCAAACATGCTCAATGGGTGACATGTCTGGTGAGTATGCAGGCCATGGAAGAACTGGGACATTTTTCAGCTTCCAGGAATTGTATACAGATCCTTGCGACATGGGGCTGTGCATTATCATGCTAAAACATGAGGTGATGGTGGCGGATGAATGGCACGACAATGGGCCTCAGGATCTCATCATGGTATCTCTGTGCATTCAAATTACCATCGATAAAATGCAATTGTGTTCGTTGTCCGTAGCTTATGCCTGCCCATACCATAACCCCACCGCCACCATGGGGCACTCCGTTCACAACGTTGACATCAGCCAACTGCTCGCCCACACGACGCCATCCCTGTCTGCCATCTGCCCGGTACAGTTGAAACCGGGATTAATCTGTGAAGAGCACACTTCTCCAGCGTGCCAGTGGCCATTGAAGATGAGCATTTGACCAGTGAAGTCTGTTACGATGCCAAACTGCAGTCAGGTCAAGACTCTGGTGAGGACGACGAGCACGCAGATGAGCTTTCCTGAGATGGTTTCTTCGGTTGTGCAAACCCACAGTTTTATCAGCTGTCCGGGTGGCTGGTCTCGATGTGGAGGTCCTGGGCTGGCGTGGTTACACGTGGTCTGCGGTTGTGAGGCCGGTTGGATGTACTGCCAAATTCTTTAAAATGACGTTGGAGGCGGCTTATGGTAGAGAAATGAACATTACATTCTCTGGCAACAGCTCTGGTGGACATGCCTGCAGTCACCATGCCAATTGCACGCTCCCTCGAAACTTGAGACATCTGTGGAATTTTGTTGTGTGACAAAACTGTACATTTTAGAGTGGTCTTTTATTGTCCCCAGCACAAGGTGCACCTGTGTAATGATCATGCTGTTTAATCAGCTTCTTGATATGCCACACCTGTCAGGTGGATGGATTATTTTGACAAAGGAGAAATGCTCACTAACAGGAATGTAAACAAATGTGTGCACAAATCAGCTCATGAAACATGGGACCAAGACTTTACATGTTACATTTATATTTTGTTCAGTATAAGTGTAGGAGAGGGTGGGTAACTGTCATGAGGGGAACTAGGGGAGTTTTCAGGACGGGGAGAGCAAGGACAAGAAAACCCCCCGAACAGAAATCTATAATAAAAACAAATTGAAATCATAAAGTTCTTTGTGGGCGGTGTCTGAAAGAATGTATGGGTCTGAAAGAATGCATAATTACTGTAAGCATCAAATGCTAGGTGTATAGGCCTATAGCTAAATCATATTCTATTCTCTGTGTGAAGGTCCTAATGGATGGAATTAAGTTGGTATATTACAACAAATTAATATAACTCATTGTATTAATTTGGAAAACTGCCGTAACATTCTAATCTCAATGGCAAAAGGATGGATCAACCCTCTCCAGTAGTGTTTAAAAGATAATTAAATTGAACATTTATATTGTATCTCTATGGTTTAATAGGTCATGAGGGTGCAAATACCAGCTCCCCCTCTGACTGCTTTGGACAGTTGTACATGCTTTGATTGGTCAACTTAATATTCACAAGTGCCTGTGACCTCTTTGATTGGTCATGGTCAGGCACAAGTCCCTGCCCATTATGTCTGATTGATGGATGGATGTGGTGGCTTATTGAGGACATGTTTTCATGTTGTTCTCATTAGAATATTGACAGGCTAATTTTTGAAAGTCAAATTCATTCAAATTTGTCAAAGCCTATGTACAGATGTCTGCAAATACAGTTTCCTTAGCAACAACTTACTTATTTGGTTTTAGTCTCAACTCTCACACATACAAACACACTGTACGATTAACTCGAAGAAGCATTTTTGAAGTCCACTTCCATTGTCCTCCAAGAGTAGCTTAATGTTTGGCTGGAAGGAGGGATTGTGTTTGAGTGAGGTGCATTGGATTCACAAGAAACTAAAGACAGAGGAGACCCAGCAGCAGTGAACTTGTGTTCTGAATCTGTTGGTGTCTGGTGTGTGTTGGCAGCATTTATTCCTATGCTGACATGTTTTAATCCTGAGGGGCTCCAGGAACTGTGACTAAATGGTGTCCAGGAATGAGCCCATCTTTGACTTCCTCTCAGAAACAACGCTAAACAGTTTACAGAACGAGAGAAGACTGTTACCCAGCTGGCCCCCTCTTTAAACAGCACACTTCTCAAGAGCAGCTTCTCTCCTCTCCCCATCCCCCTTTCTCTCCTCTCTTTCCTTTCCTCCTCTCTTTTTCACCTCTGCCTATCCAGGTGAATTCCTCTAAGCTAACAATCCGGTGTCACTTCCTTCCATTTCTCAACTACTTCAAGAGAGGGAGAGCGGGTCTGTGAGTGTCTTCACATAATATATTTTTTATCAACATCACTCATCTATTCATCAATGAATCTGTCAATCATTTAAGGCCTCGGAGTGGTTCACTTAATTTGTGTTGCTGTTGCCTGACTCATTTGATAATATGTGTGTGTGTGTGTGTGTGTCAGTGCTGTGATTGGGGGATGAGGCTCAACCTAATCCTGCTATAGTGCTGATATAATGTGTCCAGATTAATATTTTCAGAGACACAGAAACAAAAACACAGCTGGGAGTGAAGGCTGCCGTGCCACTGGAGCACTACTGCTGGGATACATAAAAAGGACAGGCCCTAAGGTCTACTTGTCAAACAAACACTCATTGTTCTTACAGTAGCAGGGTGGATGGATGGTTTTTCAGTGTGGGTCTTGTTAGTTTACATCCTGGTGTGGTTGTTCGTGACAGAGTGAACCATGGGTGATTCATAGAGCAGTGGAGGTGGGGTTATACTGTCACAGACTCTGCTGCTCCATCTGCTGGACACTCATTGCTCTCCTGGCTCTCTCCTCTTCCCTGGGCCCTACTCATTCCCTCTGCCGCAGTAGGAGCATTTATTGGCAACTCACAGTCATAAACTGAAGACCACATTAAGTGTTACCCTGTGACTTCAGCAGACCTGGAATTCTTACATATTTTGTAGACTTTGAGACAGTTATGATGAATGAATAAGAAAGGGAGACAGGCCATTGGGAAGGGGGGACACAGATCAAACCCCTGTCTCCGGTGGGGAGAGGTATACACTATCTAGAGCTGGGAGTGTTTCTGCTAGACCACGGGCTCTGCACTGCTCTAGTGCAGGTCCTGCTGGATAATGAGATAGAGTACTTTGGCTTTTGATATCATTGACAGGGGACATTGTTGATGGAGAAAGATGGCGCTGGAAGTGGTTGCGTCACCACACGTCTTCTCATTAAGGAGCATGTTGTTGTTGGTGGACCAGGTGCTGAGCGTATTTAGTTGCTTCTGCATTGATGATGGCTGCTGCAGATTCCTTGTTTCAAGTCACTGACATATTTCCACACAGGGTTTGCAGCCTCTTGTGCAGGGCAAAGAGTAGGACTGGGCCAAATAGAGTGCCTTGGGGAACACCACATGTAAGGGGCTGTATTGTGATCAACCCTGTCTCTTTCCTCTCTGTCAGGTACTGGAGAGAGTGGGAAGAGCACCTTCATTAAACAGATGAGAATCATCCATGGCGCCGGCTACTCAGAGGAGGACAAGCGCGGCTTCACCAAGCTGGTGTACCAGAACATCTTCACTGCCATGCAGTCCATGATCCGCGCCATGGAGACCCTCAACATCCCCTTCTCTGAGGCCCAGAATAAGGCAAGAATCCCAGCAACATTACACTTCAGCCCTACCTCAGCACTGGCTGATCACAGAGCCAAGGACTTTCGTTTTCCTTTGTGAAGTGTTTTAAAGCATTTTCCGTTGCGTGCCCTATGGAACACACCCCAACCATGTTGTTGTTTGCTCCCTCCCTCCCAGGGCTATGGCAGCATGTTGATTGAGGTGGAGGTGGACATGGTGAATGATCTGGAGAGAGGCCATGTGGACGCCATCAGGAGCCTGTGGATGGACAGTGGAGTGCAGGAGTGCTACGACCGCCGCAGGGAGTACCAGCTATCTGACTCCGCCAAATAGTGAGTAGACTTAAGTCATAGGGCCAGGAGTTTTTCTTGAACTGGTCATGATCAGGATAAACCACAGGTCAGGTAACTAGGCCTTAGACAAAGACGACATATCTATTGACAAAAAGTAATGACACTATAACGTAAGACTGCAAAGCCATAAAATGTTATTTTGCTAATGCAAAGTCCCTGAGCCAAGCAGTTGCTTCCAGTCCTGCTGGGTTGAGGGTTAGGCCTCCACTGAGCCTCCACTGAGTTTGTGGATTGGACAGACTTCAAGAATATAGTGCATGGTTTGCTCCACCCCACAGGCACATAGGGGGCTTGCTTTTATGCCCCATTTGTGGAAGTTGGCGAGGCACGGGCCGTGGCCAGTCTTTAACCTATTGAAGGTGGACCACTAGTGATGAGGTGCTTATTTGTCAGGTCCAGTGACTCCCATTCTTGTGTCCAGGTGAGATTTGTGTTGAATTCATCAGTGGGTGGGTCTTTACAAATTGGCACGTCAGGTGTGGGGCATTGCAGACTATTTAAATAGTCTCCAGATGTGTGTGTCTCCAGATGTGTGTGTGTGTGTGTGGGGGGGGGGGGGGGGGGGGGTGATGTTTGCCAGGACAGGGAGCCAGGGAAGCGGGTGGATCGTAGTGTGCCAGTAATGATACGCATAGTGGCGTTTAGCTGTGTCGACTGTGTGTGTGTGTGTGTGTGTGACAACCTTGACCAGACAGGTGCACAGTATGCCCTAGAAGAGATCAATATTCACACTGGAATGTGAATATGCTGCCAACATGGCCTGTTTAATTACATGGACAATATTTGAACTAACTGGGTTTTCATCAGCATATACCAATGTAAAGTGTTTCTGTTGTTATTTTCTCTGGGTGAGCACACATTATTCCCTTCAACTTTTTCTTCATGGGTTTTCAGTTATCTGAGTGACCTGGACAGGATCGCAGAGCCCTCCTACCTGCCCACCCAGCAGGACATCCTGAGGGTCCGAGTACCCACAACGGGCATCATCGAGTACCCCTTCGACATGGAAAACGTCATCTTCAGGTGAGGGACACTTTGGTTCTGCCAATGATGTACCTTCTCCAATCTCCACTGAGCGCAAGTCCTATGTAAGAGAAACACTATAGACCCATTTCCTGTCCGCGTCATGAAAAGTTTGGTGCGCGGTTCCAAATCAGAAAGGGGTTTGTTTACATGAGTGGATACAGAATCCTCCGACTTCAAATGCAGCTTGTGCAAGGAAGATTGATAACCTAGCAAGTTAGCAAGCCAGCTAGGCAAGGTAAAAATATCACAAATAGAGCTAGATGAAGCCAGAAGAATAATGTAATTGTTGAACATAGCTATAGCAATCAGTCTTGTGCAGTTTCATGGTCATCACTCATTCACTGTTAAGTTTAGCAAGATCCCGACATCAGTGTTAGCTATCCTGCTACAGAGCTTTTTGTTGTGAGGATGCGCGCGGATCACTCGAACGAGACGTTTGCTTGTAAACCAAAAATGTCTATTGGTATGCAATAAGCAGCGCACCTAACATTGGCTTGTTGTGATAGGATGGTGGACGTGGGGGGTCAGAGGTCAGAGAGGAGGAAGTGGATCCACTGCTTTGAGAACGTCACATCCATCATCTTCTTGGTGGCGCTTAGTGAGTACGACCAGGTGCTGGCTGAGTGTGACAACGAGGTGAGCTCCCGTCAGTCAGAGCAGTCACTGGACCTTTTACTGATACACTTGCAGGCCGCATTTGTTGAGCTAACATGCTGTTGTGTAAAATTGATGAGTAAAATAAGCTATTAAGTCAAATGTATCACACATTAAAATGTATAAGTTAGATGTATCTCACAAATTAGATGAGAATGGGCTATCATATCCACTTACTGTACGTGCGTCAACTTCCCCTAGAACCGGATGGAAGAGAGCAAAGCCCTCTTCAAGACCATCATCACATACCCCTGGTTCCAGCGATCTTCTGTCATCCTTTTCCTCAACAAAACTGACATCCTAGAGGAGAAGATCACACACTCCCACCTTGTCAACTACTTCCCAGAATACATCGGTAAACTCTAGTAGTGTTTGTGTTGCATTCAATATGTGAGTGTAGGAGGTTGTGTGTGTGTGTGTGTGTGTGACCGCTATTCTTGTGTTTAGTAAGTGAACACATTACTTTACATACACGCACTCACACGTGACCAACCTGGTATCAAGCCCATGCTGCCATACGACTCAAGAACACATTAGCCCACTGAGCTAAAGCCTAGGCATTCATTCTTGAAGCTCACACATTTTCAGGTCTCAGGCAAGGTTACTCATCACGAGTGTAGTTCCCATAACAACCTCCGCTAGGCACACACGCCATAACTAAAGCTCTTGTTTCCAGGGCCACAGAATGACCCTAAAGCAGCCAGGGAGTTCATCCTGAAGATGTACCAGGAGCAGAACCCAGACAGAGAGAAGACTGTCTACTCCCACTTCACCTGTGCCACCGACACAGAGAACATCCGCTTCGTCTTTGTTGCTGTTAAAGACACCATCCTCAGACACAACCTGAAGGAGTTCAACCTGGTTTAGAGGAGAGCTAGGGCTCCTGCAAGTTTAGGAGACATCTAGACTGGTCCGAGATGATGTGCTTCAGCCAACTCCTCTGACTATCGTTGACATGAGTTGGTTAAAGCACATACAGATCTGGGATCTGGCTAGGAGACTTTGAGAGTAGATGTAGAGGGTTAGGTTGGAAGGTCAGATTGATGTGCTAGAAGAATATGCTCTGACTGCCAGATTTATAGTGCTGCTTTTCTGTCCAAGGTGCTTTTTAGGTTAAGCATCTATACCAAGAGAAAAGCTCCTCTACATAACTTTTCAAAAAAAAGAATGAAAATTCTACTCATTTGTATAGTGACCGGGATGCCAAAGTTACGTTTTTTAAAGTAAAATATATTTTTATTGTATGGTCGTCGTACCAAAACAAATGTTTTTTCTTTGAAATGGACGACTTAAATTTATTTATCTTGTGGAGTTAGTACAGAGGAAGGAGTTAAAGTATAGCACCTTTTGATTTATTTAAAAATAAACTTTGTAAAACTATGATCTATCTAGCAATTATGTACAACACTCCTCATGATATCTTTCCTTAGTGAGCAGTAGTGTGATAGTGATGAGTGCAAGTGAAATTGAGTTCTTGTCCAAGTCTTTTACTTGTTGTTTAAATGTGAGCAACACTTGGCCGTAAAAATGCAATTTGTTTTCATACAGATACTGTATTTATATACTCCACCTTATATCTAAACAGTGAAGACATGCATATTTTAGCCAAGTAATCAGTCTAAAGTGCCTTGTTTGAGAGAGGAATAACAGAATAATTCCAGTGAACTATAGGGACATTTACCTGAGACCTTCATTTAGGAGCAAATCCTTACTTCCACTTGATTCAAATTTTCAGTTGGTGTCAATGGGAAACTAAGTGAAAATTCAACTTGAAGTGGGAGTTAGGATTCACCCCTAAGTGCATAAATATGAATACGTATTCCAAACAACCGATTTCTGGTCATGAAAGAATTCTCCATTCATAGATTGTGACTGTTTACTTATTCAATATGTGCATCAAGTAATTTCTACATTGTTTCTTTAAAAAATAATTAAGATATGTTACATTTCAATAAATTGTTAGTAGTCAAATGTACAATTTCTATTGGTGCGTCTCAGTTTAAAAAATGTCAAGCAGAACTGGGAGAAATATGTGCTGATTGTATGTCTTTGTAGATCCTATCAGGACAGAAAGACCCAATACCAAACAAATTAAATTGACCGTTTTATTTATTTTTTTAACAGCAGAATAATTATCTGCACCAGTGATTTTATACTGCCTCACAATGAGAGCACTTGCTGACAAAGGCAAAAGAGAGAAATTATTTAGTTACATTAATTAGTGACCCCAAACCAAAACAAACCTTTAAAACATTTAAGTATGAATGTAGCAGCTGACAATTTATCAGTTCTTTTAAATATATGTCTCTCCATTGCATAACTCTTCGTCGTTAATGGCATTGCATACCTGCTGTATAAAAACATGAAAATCAGCAATGATGAGATGCAACCCCTCTATAGATGATCTTAAATCACAGGAGGCTGCTGAGGGGAGGACGGCTCATAACAATGGCTGGAATGGAGTGAATGGATTGGTATCAAACACAAACACATTGTTTCCATGAGTTTGATACCATTCCATTTATCCCATTCCAGCCTTTACTTTGAGCCTGTCCTCCCCAATTAAGGTTCCACCAGCCGCCTGTGTCAGATATATATCTATATACACACGTAACTGCCAAAATAAAGGAAACACTTGAGTAAACGAGGGATACAAAGTATATTGAAGTCAGGTGCTTCCACACAGGTGTGGTTCCTGACCATATAACATCCCATCGTGCTTAGGGTCATCTATAAAAATGCCAAGTTGCCCATGAAGGGTCTCAAAGAAGCATAGGGGCTTTAAAGGATGGTGTGGGTGTCTCAGTCACCAGATCCCGAGCATTTTCCATCACCATCAACAAAACAATTACATTTCTTGTGGAAGAATGGTGTGGCATCCCTCCAATAGAGTTCCAGACCCTTGTAGAATCTATTCCAAGGTGCATTGAAGCTGTTCTGCTGGCCCAATGCCCTATTAAAGACACTATGTTGGGGTTGCCTTTATTTTGGAAGTTACCTGTATATACACACAGGACACTATTGAAATCATTGTAAAGCAGATTGACAAGTACCGTAGAAAAATAGCATGCTTTTTTCGATCACGTGCAAAGTCAAAGCTTGCAGAAATGTCTAGAAAAACATGGGGGAGTAGGGGGAATATTGGGACAGAATAATTTGCATCTTGGACTTGACTCTGCTTACAAGCAGATAAACAGTATAATAAAGTTTTTTCCCCCATCCTACATCAACCAGTAAAATAACATTGTGTGTAACATATCCACATCAAGGCAGTTAAACAGTGCTCAGAGTCCCACAATAATACTTCAATTTGGCCACAATATTTTTTCAAGCCCGTCACTCAGTAACTGTTAAACGGATTGAAATGTGATGGACAGGGCTACGTCAACAGTGGCAGTTTGGAAAGTCATTCAGGTACCCTACTTTTTCAAAGAAAATATAAAAACAAACATTTATTTGGGAAAATGACATTTCTATCACATAGTTGTGTACAATCAGAGCGGTGACAGTGTAGGATTTTGTGTTCGACATTCACAACACATTGTTTTACAGACAAACACAGACTGCAAGCTGATATAGAGAGAGGCACACTCCATTCTCGCTCGCACATATGCCATAACTAAAGCTCTTGTTTCCAGGGCTGCAGAATGACCCTAAAGCAGCCAGGGAATTCATCCTGAAGATGTACTAGAAGCAGAACCCAGACTGAGAAAATACCATCTACTCCCACTTCACCTGTGACACCGACAGAGAACATCCGCAAGAGGTTTGCCGCCTTCGAATACTCCCATCGCGCCCTCTTCAGATACAACCTCATGCAGACCAAGCTGGCTTACGGAAGTGCAAGGAGTTAGGCGATATTCCTGCCATATGGCTGTGTACAACCAAAACAGTGATAGTGTTTGTGATAGTGGAGTCTGTGTGTGTTGTGTCTGCAAGATGTCCAGACAGTCCTTGTGTGTGTGTGAATGAAAGAGCAAGTCTAACCTGAGAGTTAGTAGTATACTGCTGTAGGCACACCCTACTCGCCTAGCATGCATGCACACATGTGCGCACACACACTAACGTTGTACTTTTGTCATGTCTCAGTGCTGGTTGGTGGCCCTATTGGAATGGCCAATCAGTATTTGTGTAGACTCTCCCTGGCGTCTTCAAGCTTGGTAAGAACCCACTGCAGATGAACAAAACCACACACATTTCAATACTACACCATAGAACTTCACCATCAAAAGTCACATTACAACTTGAACCACATCCTAAATAAACTATTGTGTGAGTTTTGTGTTAACCCACCTTGGCTATTTCTGGACTTCTGAAGTTTATAATCTTCCCAAACTCTTTGGCATGAAACACAGACTTTACTCTCTCCTGAAACACAGGAAAGAGGTTTTTAGTTCCACACGAGTTCTGAGAAATAGGGGGATGTACTGTGAGATACTGTTAGCACTAGAACTGCTAAAGCAGTCATTTTGACTGGTTATGAATGTATTTATTTTATTACTATATTTTTTAAAAGTCATGTCCACCTCTGTCCTTGACTTTCCCTAAATAAGTCTATAGAACACACTATCAGTGTTAGAATCTTAATATCACAAACAGAACTGAAGTTATAACCAGTTTTAAGAGGGCATTATTGAATGGGTTTTCCCCCGTTGCCCCCTCCCTCCTCCTGACAGTAGGGCCTGCTCTGCTCCTTCTCCCGACATTGGAATGTGTAGTGCCCAGTTGATAATCACCCCAATAATTGCCTCGAAACGGAGCCTAAAATATACCAAAACTAATTTTACACATAACAGATGAAATAACTGAAGTAAAGTAGGATGGGGGAAAAAGAGGGAGAATGGGTAAGTTGATGAGGGAGGGGAAGCAAACAATGCATAATTATGTAAATCACCAATTGTGAATGAAGAACAGGGCGGGCCATTCTATTGGTATATTCTAATTATAATCTCAAAATGTTATGTACCCTATATCAGCACCAAATCCAAGCAGTCTTATCAGTCTACTAAGGTCTACTTGGAGTACACAGTGAAAGTGTGCGCAATTTACATGCTTCATGCTGCGTTAGCACTGCTACAAGATCTGAATGAAAACGACTCAGATGGTGGGGAAGAAATGAATCATGACATCTGATGATTATTCTTCTGATTCTGAGCCTCAGCCTGAACCTACACCTCCGAGGCCTAAGCGCAAAAAAGCCAGAACGGTACGCACTGAGCAGGTGCCTGCGCCACTACCAAATGAAACCGTGAGACAGGAGTGAGGAAGGGACGGCACCGTTTGGGAAAAGATTCACATCGGGCAGCAGATGAGTGAGTGTCGGAGAATGTGGTGATGAGGCTTGTGGAACCTTACGTTGGCAAGGACAATTTATTCACTTCACTGTCATTGGCGAACAAGTTGCTTGCAAATAAAACAAGCCTAGTCGGCACCATGAACAAAACGAGACGGGAGCTCCCTCCCTCTGTGCAAAATAAGGCACCTGCACAGGCGTTGTACTCTACAATGGTGCTGAAGAATGACAAGACAACTCACACTTTACTAATGCAAGGCAAGAAATACCATTTCTGTCATGAGCACCATGCATCAGACAGTTGCCATCGACAGGGACACAATAAGAGAAAAACGGATACTATTACGCACTACAACCAAGCAAAGGCATGTCAATATTACATCATATCCATTGCCATATATAGACAAACTTATGCAATGCATTATGCTCTTCTGTATAACACGTGTTGTTTTTCCTATGGGAAAATAATGCTAATGTTTTCTACTCAATTCTGTTCCATAGGTTGGTGTGGCTGTTTTGGATTAGAAGGCACGGCTGTACTCTGAAAGGAGGCACCCACCGCTGGCCTGTTGCTGTGTTCTACAACAAGCGTGACTTGGCTGCCATCAACGCACAAGTGTTGTTCAAGCAGTGCATCGACAACACCATGCCCAGGAGAGAATCATCATGAGTCTGGCATACGGGCTACGTGAGAGACATGAGGGCCAAGGCAGCAGCAAAGATTCCCCACGAGCCAAATTGCGCACAGCTCCCAGGACCCTAGACACCTGTATCACCTGCAAGTGACGTGTTTGTGGGAAGTGTGTCAATCAAGTGAAAGTGGCGAAGATTTAAGAAAAGGGATAAGCGCTAAATGAAATCCAACTGATGCCATTGTGTGAAAATGCACACCATGTAAGCACCAGCTGAAAATAATTGACAATTGACTGCTATCATATCAACACATTCATTATAATTGCTTTTGTGCAGATTTTCACTAATTATCAAGCACACTTGGCGCTTATAATTATGTTTAGGCTACTTTTTTAATAATTTGAACACGCGTTAGGCTGACCAATGCGTCTGTGTGGTTGGGGTATTTTGTAATAAATAAAAAAATCTGTTCCAACACATGGTTTCTGTTTCATTGTTGTAACAAAATACCATGAATAAAATTGATTGAACAGTTGAATTTGTGTTTGTGTTTTTACATATAGCCTACAGTAACAAACTAATAAATGCTATTTTATTATTATGTTACTTAACACCTTCATGAACACAACCAAATTATTATTTTACCAATAGCATATATGACATGTATTAATTAAACTGTTAGAAAGTTGCAGTCAGAATGACTTCTCATTAGCTTGAAGGGGTGTCCCTCAAAGCCCAGTGGTTCTAGTGTTAATACAGAGGAACAAACAGTTTGGATGCAAATGAGTGAAGGGGTATTTCTTATGCAGGGGTATTTCTTCCAGCTAGTGAAAGCTACTTCTTTGGTGAGTATCATGCAGGTTGGAAACGGGAGCGGTTTATTCAGATGGATATGATAAGCAGTTTAGTAAAAGAGAGTTTCATGTGGTAGTTATTAGTGTGTATGGATCACAATGAGCAGATGAGGATACCTTGGCCTCGATCCGAAGCCTCCTCCCCTCCACGATCATGGGCTCCTTGGTGAACTCGTCAAACAGATACTGCCACTCGCAGGTCAGCTGCCCAAATGTACCTTTGGTCACGAAAAAGATTCCCCTGGCGAAACGCAAGAGAGAGAGAGCCTCAGAACATTCAAGACAGTGACACAGGAACTGAAACAACAGCACTCTGTAGGCCACTGCAGTCCACTTTTAAAGCAAACCCGAGCCAGCCTCCTACCTTTTGGTGATCATCAGGAAATCGGACTCGTTCACTTTGGCGTGCGCAAAGTATCTGTACTTGGCGAACCTTCCATTTTCAATTTTCTAAAAGAGAAAAATTAACTTATCAGGTTTGTTTAAACACATTTTCTAGAAAATATGCACACATTTTTCAAATTGGGTATGTAAACACATATGCTATGCTATATGCTAAGTCTACTGTTGATTTGATACATAAATGAGTAATTTGGTACCTTTTTCAAAGTTAGATTAAAATGGCTTCGGAATGGTCACCATTTCACTGGCTCTGGCAGATGATCTGACGAGTATTGTTACTGACCTACATCGACTTTCCCTACTGATCTGACAATAACTTGTATACTGGACACTTCCTAGGCCCTGTTTGCTTACTTGATGAATGCATCCTTCCTTTCTCCCCTCTTTGAAGGAATTCCTGATCTGACATGGCTGGCTTGGAGAAAGCTGTGCTACAACAGTGCTTCCACATCAATTTGCGTAAGATCAGTGATAACTTCAAGGGAAGGAAGGTTGCTTTTAATGTATTCAAACAGGGCCATCATCTTTCATCTTTGACTGGAGATATGTCAAACAACATCTAAATATTCCACTGCGGTACACTGATACTTCATTGAGTCCAATGCATACCTGTTATAGACCGTTTATAATCTGTTCATAACAGCATGGTAATGAGTGTTGATGAAGTGATAGGAAAAGGTAGGGATGAGAAGACGATGAAATAGATGTTTCAAAATGCACTTTATTCAGAAGGAAGGGAAGTGGTGCTGGCTATGAGTAAATGACTGAGCGCATAGCAAGGACTCTTATGAAAGAGGGAGGGACCAAAATGCCAAGATGGAGGACTGCTGACTGACTATTACGTACCTCCTGTCCAGACCAATACAATATATTTCATATTAACTTAAGATGGAATATGCATTAGGGGAAACAGCACCACTGTCCGCCCCCAGCATATTTGTTATTGTTTTTGTTTTGTGGTCAGAGGTGAGCATGCTAGCAGATACCCATAGACTTCCAGTCATTGTGCTAACGGTAGTTAGCATTGGCATGCAAAACTACCTCTAACTTCCTTCATACTGGACACAGAGACATAAAAATAGTATCCATTAGTTCATCAGACTCTGGGGAAGTAGATACAAAAATCCCATTAAGGATTCCAGCTTTAATATGAATAATATAAACTAAAATGTTCCCCTTGCTCTAAGATAGAATATTATGAATTATTTTCTGATCAAATATTATCATTGACGAGTCTCTTGGTTTTCTGACTCCTCCCCCTTACATGATAGGGTAGAAGGTTAAATGACAGATGACTGTTAAAATAAGTAGAATTATGGTTTTACATGACAAATTGCAAGGGGTCCTGCAGCAGCAGAATCCTGAGAATACATAGGTGTTTTATTAAAACAATTCAAATACAGTGCATATCTAGAGTTACCAAAAAATAAGAACAGCCGAGAATGACAAATGGGCTGGCAGCTGGTTATTCGTGTTCTTCAGGAGGCATTGAATGTTAAAATATCCTGCTGGAGCAGGCTACTCCACAATGACCGACACAAACAGACAGGACACATTAAAAGCTATGGAAGACCAAAGCATCAACTAGGACTTAGCAATTCCATTCTAGCTGTCATCATCATCATCATCATCATCATTGCCAGTCCTACTCCATTCAGTGAAGGCCACCCTTTTCTGTGGACATGACAAGAGAGAAGGCAAAGCCAAAGTCAGAACAGACAAGCCCGTCTCTAATAATCTTTAGCTCTACAAAACCATCTCGTTTCCATTGAAGTAAATGATCACATTTCACGACTCAAAACGCCAGTACAGTGGTACAGTGGTACAGTGCAGCTTCAAGATAAACTATGAAAGACCAAAGCATTAACCAGTGCTTATCAATTCCATTCTACTTATCATCCACATCAATAATAGTAACAATAACACATTTGATGTATACAGTGCTTTTTCGTCATCATCAGCATCATCATCATCACTGACAGTTCTACTCCATTCAGTGGAGACCACGGTATTCTGTGGACATGACAAGAGAAGACAAAGCCAACGTCAGGACAGACAGACATACAGACAGACATACAGACAGACATACAGACAGACATACAGGCAGACATACAGGCAGACATACAGGCAGACATACAGGCAGACATACAGGCAGACATACAGGCAGACATACAGGCAGGCAGACATACAGGCAGACATACAGGCAGACAGACAGACATACAGGCAGACATACAGGCAGACATACAGGCAGGCAGACAGGCAGGCAGTCTCTGACGCTACTATTAATCTCTAGCTCTATGGAAATCTTGTTTTTGAATAAAATGATCACAACACTTCAGCATTCTCAATGAAACATCAATACAGAAGTACAGTACAGCTTCAAGATAAACTGTTTGTACACAAGCTACAGCTAGAAACCACAAGTATAGTGACACCACAACTACACAAAACAAAATTACAGCCAACACATCAATGCCTTGGCTCACTACAGCTTCTGCTCATGACGGTCCCATTCCACTACAGCCCTACAGGCCACTGACGAGGGTTGGGTCAATTCCATTTCAATTCAGAGTCAAATTGAATTGACTGAATTGAAATGGAATCGGCCCCAACTCTGGTCATGTTCCTGCTCGACTACATTGCAGACGCATGCCAGATTTTACAACGCCTGGATAGGTATTTAACATATTAGCTAACCACATCATTTGATATAGCAATCTGATGCCCGACTGCACAGTGATGCCCGACTCCATGACGTGGAATGCAACCATTGGTTGATGCAATGCAACGCATGAGCATCTAGTCGGGCAGGAACTTGACCTCTGCCACTTCCATCACTAAGTCGGACTACACACACAGAGAGCTACAACAGCCATGCTCTATAGGAGAACTTTAGAGCAGGTGGGTGAACACACATTATCAGAGGTGAGGATGAAAGAGATAATGACGATGAAAATCTATCTGGACTGAGATGTAATAAGGGGTTGAGAAGTGGAGTGAGAGATGGAGAGAAAGGGGATGTTTCTATGTTAACATGAACCTTGACCTTGTGATGAGGAATACCTCAGGGTCGTGTTCATTAGGACACGAGAGGGAAAACTTTTAAACAAGTTTTGCAACAGAAAACGAAGATGAGCAGGTTCATGTAGTCCCTTCCCAATGTCAGTTTGTTTTCTTCAATTTGGTGCCTAATGAACACCACCCAGGTCAGGGGAGCCATCTGTTTACAGAGGAAATAAGGGTTAGTTTCGTTTTCCAGAGAATTCCTGTTACCTGTAGCATCTGGCTGCCGATGCCCTCTCTTTCCTTGTATGGTCGGATGACCCCGTCCTCGTGGATGAAGCGAGGCGGACGCAGACTCTCCACATCCTGGGACGTCTCAGCTGCCCTCTTGATGCCCTGGAAGGTGCTGCTGGCCATGTCGATGATGCCTCCAGTGGGTCTGGCCACAGCACCCACTAGCCCCTTGCCCACACCCTTAAAGAAGCCCGCCGCGCCCTCCTTCTGAGCACCTTTAATGGGCTTGGTGACGATCCCTGTGATCCCACTGACAAAGCCCTGAGATGGAGAAAGGGAGAGTGTTACAGACAGCAGCAGGTCTGAGAGAGAACCGGTCTAAGAAACTGTTTCTACTGCTCAGCTATACTGGTTGTGTTCAATTGACAACAATGCTTATCTTCAATTACCCCTGCAAAATGTTTTGCTACATTGGGTCCTACTGAACAGGTCCCGGTTGTGCTGGTGTTGCTGGGTTAGATTATCAGACACCAGTTAGGCAGTATTGGGGTTAGTGTACTATAGTGGGTCAGACTCACAGACACCAGTCCTTTGCCTCCGCGGGTCAGGCCCTCTCTCAGGCCGCTAGGCTGCTTGTTCATGGCCTCCCGTCTCTTCTGCTGGTACTCCTCGTCCATCGTCATGGCAGCCACACCCTTCGCCATGGCGCCTGTGATCCTGGAGGCAGCGCCCGCAATGCCACCTGGGAGAGGGGACAGAGTGAACACACAGTGGAGAAGAAGAGAGAGGGACCAAGTAGAGAGGAGAGAGAGATATGTCAGGGGGGAAATACAGTTAAGTCAGAAGTGGAGGGATGGCAGAGGGAACTAAAGAGAATCAAGGTTAGAAGAAAAGAGATGAGCGAGAGCATTACTTACCTACTGCTCCTCCAACCAGCGCTTTCACCCCCAGCGCCATACCCTCCACAAACTCCTCTGGCCCCTGGATAGCTCCCTGAGGAACCCCAAAACAGAATTACTCAGATACATACCACCTATACAGATAACTACCGCACTGTGTCAAGTATTACACATCCATACTGGCAGTGTTCAGTGCTACAAGTGATTTAGCTCCTACCTGGTGTGGTTCATATTGGTTGTACTGTAGTCTCACCTGATAGGGCTCGTAGAAGAAAGCCTCCACTCCCTCCGACAGACCTCGGATCAGTCCAAAGGGGTTTCCCAGCACGTCCAAGCCCAACACCAGCACATACATCTGCTTTATCGCCTGGGACACAGATGAGAACATGGCTCAGTTGTGTATCATAGTAACTAAATTACTTGTTAGAAAGGGGAATCCTAACATGAGGAACCTGTATTGAACTCAATTTTTCGCATAAATCATTAATTGAAGTAAATGGGAGACTTGTGGGAACATTGCCGTTGGATGTGCACATTTCCAATTAGGATTTGGCCATTAGTGCCCACTTGGAGTGGAATGTGTGTGAGATGTTACCTGTTTCGAGTAGTGTCTGATGACCTCCCATTGTAGTTGCTGGCGAGTGCGAAACTGGAAGGTCAGCTCGAAGAAGGCCAATCTAAGGAAGTTACAGAAAATGACTTTGGGTCAGACACTAGTGTAAATGTATACAAAACAAGGACATGGTCGAATAAAGCCTTGCCATAAGCAAATAAATAGCATTAAGTGGTTTTGTACAGTCTCTGTATGGTGTGTGTGTGTGTGTGTGTGTGTGTGTGTGTGTGTGTGTGTGTGTGTGTGTGTGTGTGTGTGTGTGTGTGTGTGTGTGAGAGAGCGAGCGAGCCATTATCATTTTACGTGATATGTTCTACTCCGGTTAAGCCACTATCTCCTATATTCCCAACTCTGAGTTGACCCTGAGTTGGCTCTAGAAAATATATCCTCCATATTTATTCCTCTGGCAGATAAACACACCCCTTTAAACAATTCAGAGTCAAAGATAGAAAACCAAGGGTTAGATCTTCGGGGCTATCTGAGCTCATTCAGATGAGGTATCAGGCCGGGGCCAAAGCAAGGAAAACTGACTCTGTATTGGACTGACAATCTCGATTAAGAAAGCTAAATCAAGCTACTTTTTAAGCTCTCTCTCTGACTCTGCTGGTGATTCTTAAAAATGTTGGAAAACAATAAATGCACGGAAGCGTACAAATTCCTCTTCTTCCCTGCCTAAGCAAGTTTTGTCTGACTCTGGCATCACTGAGAAGAATGGAATAAGTCATGCTTTTATTCTTCTTCATCATCATCATCATCATCATGGCAGGCTTTTTATTTGTAAGAAACTGTGGTTTAATTGACCCTGGTCGGTCAATCGACTGCTCTTCCCTCGGCCAGCCTCTAGCTGATTCAACTTCTAGTGAATCTGTTTTCATTTCAACAATTTACTATCTGTGATGTGCTAGATGACTTACTTAAGATTGTTAAGATCCATTTTTGCCACAGCTGTCTGCCCCCCTTATTGTTGAATCATTAACCCATATTTCTAACCTGACAATTATATCTGGTACTATCCCCAAGGTATGGAAGGCAGCCCATGTACTCCTCCTTCACAAAGGTGATGACCCTTGTGTCCTAAATAATTAAAATCGCCCTATTTCCAAACTTCCTTGCCTAGCTAAAATATTAGAATCCTTAATTAATTTTCAGCTAAGATCTTTCTTATCTTTGAAATGTATTCTAAAATGTACATCAGTCGGGTTTTAGACCATAGCACTACCTCTGCTGCATCCGTAGTTGTAAATTATGTGGTTAACTGGATGGAAAAAAGGCAACAATGTGCTGACCTGTCAAAGGCTTTCGATACTGTTGATCACTCACTGCTAATTTAAAGGCTTTCCTCAAATTGGCCTAGACCAGGATACATGTAACTGCTTTAAAATTACTTGACAGATAGAACTCAATGGTGTTAAATCAGGTTTCCTGGATATTACGAAAGGTGTCCAGAAGGGGTAAATTCTGGGTCCTGTACTTTTTACACTAACAATATAAATTTTTAACCTGCACTTGTATGCCAATGATACTGTTGTGTATGCTATTGCCCCCACGGTTGACCAGGCTCCATCTGAACTACAGTCTGCCTTCATTCTATTACATAAAAACTTGACTGACCTGAAATTAGTATTGAATGCAGGTAAAACTAAGTATACATTGTTTTCTAGAGCACAAAAATAACTGATGATTTAAGCATATGTACTCTGGATGGTGTCTACATTGATCATGTCCCTTATTACAAATATCTGGGCATCTGGATAGATGAAAAGCTGTCCTTCAAAAAGCATATTGATGGGTTAGTTAAGAAGCTGAGAATACAAATGGGCTTCTTCTATAGAAATAGGTCCTGCCTCTCGCTAAATTGTAGAAATCAGATTATTCAGTCGACGTTCCTATCGGTCCTAGACTATGGCGACATCATCTATATGAACGCAGATGCCACTTCATTACAGCCGTTAGATGCAGTTTATCATCGCACACTGCGCTTTATTACGGGCGAAAATGTTGGCTCTCTTTTATGTCACGTATAGTAGGTTGATACATTGCTATGTTTTCATTTATAAAGTCCTTTTACAAAAAGTCAAACTGTACCTAACATCTTTACTAAACTTTAGACATACGAGTTACCACACCCGGTGTCAGGGACGGTTAACTCTGGAAATTCCTTTGGTCTCTACTGAGTTCGGTAAATCAGCTTTTAGTTTTCTTGCACCTTAATTGTGGAACAATTTTCTAAATGTTCTTAAAATGTGATGTTTTGGTGCCTCTAGGGCAATTCATAAAGCTGATTGAGGACCTTATAACTGATTAATGTTTTATTTATTTTTTATGACCGTGTTGTTCTTTCTGCTTGCATTTTGTATTAATATTGATGTGTGTATTTTCTGTAATTCAGGGCTCATCTGTAAAATTGCCCTTGGTCTCAGTATGACTCCCTGATAAAATACAATTGTATGTGTACATACTTGAAGACGACATCCTGCACGTCAGTGAGGGTTGCGCCGATGCTTTTCAGCAGCAGATTGAGGGACTGGACAGGGATGATCTCGGTCTCCCTCTTCTCCTTGTTACCATCCTCTCCTCCAGAACTCAGAGAGAAACTCAGGTGCAGCTGCCAAACAAACATGCATTTTTATAGATAGATCATCCCTAGGGCAGATTTACTGACCCTATGATGTGACCAGGAAAAAGTCCAAGCCCATACGTTTTTACTGGTCAGAAGCCCTTGCTATGGTACATAACTGGTCAATAACACTTCATGACTAAAGGGCCTAGAGATTTTAATGGTCAGACCATGGTGTCCTAACGCAATATAACACACAGTAAATGCACTGTGGTGACACCGAAGCTTACCTTGATAGGAGAGATGTGGAAGTACTCATAGAGACTGATAGGGGATGTGTCAGTGGCCGAGACGTGGTTGAGCTCTGTCTTCAGATACTCTATGTCCTTCTCAAACAACTCCACCTGAACACCACACACAGAGACAGAGGAGAGAGAGAGAGATACAATGGAGTCTTAATCCTGATTGGCTCTTTGCACATACTAGTTCAATTTAGCTTTCTGGTTCGTTACGAACTCAGAAGTTAATTCAACTAGCATATGCAAAGAGCACCACTAGAGATTACTGAGGCTACTGCAATTGAGGTAGGTAGTGGGAGTAATGTGGGGAAAAGAGATGGGGGTCTCACTCAACATTGTGCTGCCTTATTTAGACCTTTCCAAGGCCTTAGACACGGTTGACCATCACATTCTCATTCGAAAGGTTACCTGAATTAGGCCTGGACCAGGCTTCTTGCAAGTGGTTTGAGAATGATCTGTCAGACAGGACACAATGCGTGATTTCTGATGGTATTCAGTTTAGTTTCTTGGGTATTCCGAAAGGTGTACCGCAGGGGTCGATATTGGGACCGGTTCTCTTTACTATTTATATAAATAATTTTAGTCTGTTAAAACTTGTAAATATGAATCTGTATGCAGACAATACTGTTATGTATGCCATTGCCCCAACCGTAGACCAGGCATTGTTAGAGCTGCAATCTGACTTTGTTGCCTTACAAAAAGTCCTGGTTGGTTTAAAACTTGTACTTAAATGTGGGGTAAGACTAAATATACACTATCAGTCAAAAGTTTGGACACACCCACTCATTCAAGGGTTTTTTGTAATACCGAAGATAGCCCTATTTGGTAAAAGCTCAAATAAGCAAAGAAAAACGACAGTCCATCATTACTTTAAGACATGAAGGTCAGTCAATACGGAACATTAAGAACTTTGAAAGTTTCTTCAAGTGCAGTCGCAAAAACCATCAAGCACTATGATGAAACTGGCTCTCATGAGGACCGCCACAGGAATGGAAGACCCAGAGTTACCTCTGCTGCAGAGGATAAGTTCATTAGAGTTACCAGCCTCAGAAATTGCAGCCCAAATAAATGCTTCAGAGTTCAAGTCACAGACACATCTCAACATCAACTGTTCAGAGGAGACTGTGTGAATCAGGCCTTCATTTTACATTTACATTTTAGTCATTTAGCAGACGCTCTTATCCAGAGCGACTTACAGGAGCAATTAGGGTTAAGTGCCTTGCTCAAGGGCACATCGACCGGTTTTTCACCTAGTCGGCTCGGGGATTAGAACCAGCAACCTTTCGGTTACTGGCACAACGCTCTTAACCACTAAGCTACCTGCCGCCCCATGTACAAGTAACACTGCAAGGACACAGGTTTTAAGAAGACAATTTGGCAGCAAAATAAATAGAGAACAACAATTCTAAAATGACTTAACCTGCACTGTATGAGTATAATAACCTGGATAAAAATAAAATCATTCTGTCTACATTTAGGACAAAAGGATGTGAAATCTGAAAAGACAAAATGATATAAAACTTACAACATATGATCAGCAAGCCAACAACACAACGGTACTCTTTAGAGATAATCCTGTGAGTATTGATTACAGTAGTTTAGCTGAGTTAGATACCGGTTAACAGTGGTTAAAAATCAAGAAGCACATACTATGGTAATATTTTGATGGGCAAAGAGATGGGGGGAATACAAATGATGAGGAAGGTGAAGAATTTAGACAGTATGCTGACTCTGATCAAGGACAGAGTGAGACAGAGGGACTAACATCAGAATCACGCAAGGAATTGTATTGTAACCATATTATCCACGCAATGGAGAAATACAGGAGGGATGAACGGAAATTGGCGAAGCAGTGGAGAGAGATTCTGAGAAAACTGGGACAGTTGCAGCTGGAAGAGCTGACAAGAAAAGACAAAAAGAAAACAAACTACACCTGTTCTCCAAGAAAGTCAACAGATACCGCTTCAGCAGCAATGCCAAAGATCTACTACCTTACCAGTAGTGAATGTGTATACACACCACTCCCCTGGGCTGTGGCAAAACAAGAATAATGAAAATGGACCCAAGAATCAATGGTACCAACCACAGCATCAAGCACACCAGAGTGGTGGACCAAGAAGACCAGGTGTCTGCTGGGGGTGCAATCAATTAGAACATATGAGAAGGGATTGTCCTACCAACCCATGGCTGCCTAGGCAACCACAACAGGAAAATTGGCAAAGAAATGGCACCAGCTAAGATGAATGGCAGCAGTCTTAGAACTTGTGGGAAGGACCAAAACAGGATAGCTAGAGAAGCATTTATTTTGGACTAGGGGACAGGGGACAGCACTAACTTATTGTGGGTTCTGGATTGGTTACACAACAATTTATATTTTTACTAAGAATAATGCAACAGGTTGAAATTATTAGATTACCGGAAAGTGGTTATGGGTTTGTTATGTTATAGGTGTATATTCCACTTAATGAAACATGATAAATGTCTGATGTGTCTTGGTTGGGAGTCTTTTCTGGGATTGATGGAAATACCCTACAGAATGAATGATGAAGGAGATGTAGGAGACCCACGTCTCAAACAATATTTTAATAGATACTTGGGATCAAATACTGATTCCTTACACAGATAAATTGACTGTATTTGTGGTTACGGAAAAGCCTCTGGGTTTAAGTCTTATGGGATTTTATTTCGTTTTATGTGCGCTGAATTGTAGAATTCACCGGAGAAGGGAGCAGTCACAAGTGATGTTTTTGAGGGTTGTCTGAAAGGAGGGATCAGGAGATGTGGCAAGAGAGTGAGAATTTCAAATTTAGATTGTGTGGACTGATTAAGAGGTATCAAAATGGAAACTAACTAAATGTGTACTTTTTCTTCCAGGAAAAAGGGGGGAGTGATTCTCTTTTCTTTTAAATATTTTCTGAGACTACTGTTTGTTTATTGTTTTACTATATGGTGTTCGAATAACCACAAACAAACTACTTAGTATGAAATGTTAGCTGTATAGGATTTTTATTTCTATTTTGGGTTTTTTGACAGGATGGAAGTGAAATATCTTAAAGGGGCATACACATGTAATTTGGGTTTTTATTTACTGAGGGATAAGTAAATATGTGTGATTTATTTTGAAAAGAGATGTACTAAGGACTTACTGTACACTCGGGATACAACATTTATGAAATGTCTTGATGGTTGTTAATGAGTATACTATTGGATGAAACAATTAATTGAATATAATAATATAATAATAATGAATGATTTCAATGACCTCTGAAATCTGTCCTGGCTTTATAGTGTGACCTGATCACCCGCACTGTAAATTCTAGAGGCATGCTGAATTAGGGGGTTAGATATAATAAGGATAATTGTGAAGAAGTTTATAATTTGGAAAAAATCCTATATATATATATATATATATATATATATATATATTAGTCCAAACAGGACAAGGATGAAGTGAGAGAGTTAGTCCTGAAGGAGAGGTATTCCTTGAATAGTGTTATGGGATACAGTTAAGTAAAGATAAGCTCAAGGGTTGTCATTTTAAGTTTAGTTATTATTTTTGGTTTGATAGGCAACATTGTTGTTGTTTTGTTTTTTTGAACACATGAATCACAATGTGATGCATGTGTCCAAGGGGGGAAGTTGGGCTTACAGAGGTTTTAATGTTTTATAATGGTTTTGTGGGGAAATATGCAAGGTGTATTAAGGATATGAGCAGTAGTAATAATGTGTTAGGTTAAATATTTTTTGTTTTTGTGATAGGAGGCATGGTGTAGAGGGGGTCTGTCTATGAAATAAGTGGACTACAACAAGCTGGAAGAGCGTGTGCTTCATAATCTCAAGGCTTCTCTTGACGGATGAGAGGACATAAGTAGCATACCGTGTCTCACCTAACAATGTTCTTAAGATTTTATTTTCATGGGTGAAGATAACTCTGCCCAACTGAGTGGGAGAATCTGAGTATTTTCTGTGCCCTGGAGACTATGTGATGGCAAAAGATTACAGAAGAAAGAGCTGGAAAGACCCTATGTGGAGGGGCCCGTCCCAGGTGTTGTTGGCTACCTCAATGATGGTAAAAGTGGGAGAGACAGATACTTAGATCCATGTTTCCCACTATAGGAGTGTTCCAACCTCAGCCATTGGGTAGTATTGTTGTCTTTTGTGTTTGTCTGTGCTTGTGTCTTTGCAGCAGTAACTCCGAGCTTCCCTATGGGTAGGCTGATAGAAGGACACTCTTCGCAGACCGATGTTGATAGATTGAGAGGGACTCTGGCTGATCCGGAGACCCTAGTGACGGAAGAAGGTTAACAGCTAAAGTGACCATACATCGTCGTCCAGGTTACACCAACAGTGGTACGGATAGAGGGGAGCGCGATCGGGTATCATCTAAACCATTGTACCAGAGTGAGGGAACTGATGACTAGGAGACCACCGAGACTTTCAAGACCATCCAGACCACAGAGAGAGTCCAGACATTCAAGATGTTACTACGGATGGTGTCGTAATGCATAGCAGAGATAATTCAGTCCAGAATGGTGTAAACCTCAATAAAAACCAAAAACTCTCTACCCGGCTGAAGAGGAACAACAAAGGAGGTGAAGACATTCCTGTCCGACACCACCTCTGCCAGGAGACCTGAATCCAGCATAAAATCAAAGCTATCAATTGCCTTCTCTTTTGTGCCTTTTCTCTCAAGAGTGTGACAGGAGTCCATTTGGAGTCGGCATGAATGGAGATTTATTCAAATATAACATCTCTGATGGTGCTGGTATACTGGTTGGCAAATGGACAAAACATAATGGGGGTAGAGGTGAGGTGGTTCAGGTGTGACATTGGAATTGGGACATTGCCATGGGCAATCCAAGATGAACTATGAAGCTATCTGAAGAACATAATGAAGACGCCAGAAGTTTGAGTGCCGGTAGAGGAGGGGAGTGTTAGTTGAGGTAATATGTTGATTGAGGAGGTATTATACACTGCTAGGAATGACTAGGAATGAATTAAGATACTGATCTGTTGTAATTCTCGTTATGAGGAAGTTAATGCTAGAATTATTATAATGTAAATATGCATTCTGCCAGTGTCAATATGTGCCAGGGTGAGAGTTTTAATTTTGAATGATGGAACCAAGGTGACTAACTAAGAATTGTCATCCTAAAGTTGTTTTGGGTAATTAATTTGATTATGATTATAAATTATAAGTGGACTGATTGATCTGAGTAAGTTATTAATATTAATGCCTA